GAAAAAGAGGAACCCCACCTTCCAAGACCACCACTATTTAATAAACTGGCATGGTTCCAGCCAGTGTTTTTCTGTGCGTTAAGTTTGGTTCACGTTATGCATGTAACCTGTGGCATTTTTTTATTAATTGGGAGAGATGTTGGTGCAAATGGAAAAATCTCAGCAGGTTCGGAGGTGTCGGGGAAGTGCCGTTCCTCGCTGTCTCGGGGGGCCGCTTGGTCCTGTGCACTGAGGGGACTGCACTAAGTGATGTCCGTGGAGCGCCCCAGCTCTAGAATGTTGGCATCTAGTGATCCCGGAGAATTCACATGGCTCATCTGATCATTTCTGGGGGCTGGGAGGAAAAGCCGCCTCATTCCTTTCTCCCTTTGTTTCCCTACCGTACCGTAGCACATTCTCAGGTCATAACGGCTTTACTTTAGTTTCCCCAGCTCATTTGAGCCTATGAGGAAGCGTTTTTTTGCAGATCAGAGTAGAGTCAGTTCAAGGTAGAGAGGGCAGGGCAGGAATAATCAAAAAGTTCCAGCAACTGTGAAAGCTTTCTAGATAATTGCCTTTTCTTAAATTTTGTAAAAGAAAGTACTTTAACACTTACTAGCTTGTGGCTTTGCCAAGTTACTCAATTCCTAATTCTGTCTTCTATAAAATGTGGGTAAGAATATGTCCTGGCATAGTTGGGGGCAAGGCGTTGATCGGAGATGATATTTGTCAAGTGCCTAGACCATAGACCATAGTAGGTGCTCAATAAGTGGCAGCAATTGTGTTTGGTTGCTAGTCTATATTTTAAAAGTAGCAAGATCAACTAGTTGGTTGCTTTGAGAAAACATTAATACAGCTCCTTGCAGATCACAACCACGTTCCACCCCAGATAACATCCAAGACTGTTTAAAACTTTGAATCAAGGAAAGAGAAGTTTTTAAATTCACTTCAGGGATTTTCAGGCACATGCACTGTGTGAAATAAATAGTAAAGGGCTTAAGGGAAATGGATCCGTGCAAGGTCTTTGAAAGGGCTTGAAGGACGGGGCTGGATGCCAGTTGAGCCCCTGAGAGGGAATGAGCCCTGCCTTCTCCAAGCAGCAGGCCCCTCTGAAAGCCACTGCTCTCTGCGGCTGGGTCCTTTGTTCTGTGTTCAGTGGATCTGTGTTCAGTTGCTGGTGGCAGGGGCTAGTGAATAAGACAGCTCACCCCTGCCCTTATGGAACCTAGAATTTCTTGAGGAAGCCAGAACCTGAGCAAACTACCAGAGTGATGAGTGTAGGATAGTGGGGTGCTACACAAGGTGGCAGTGGCCCTGACTTGGGCAAAAGACCAGGGAAGCTTCCTGGAGGCAGTGTTGCTTCTTCAGCTGAGCCCAGGATTCTCAGATCCTGATGAGGGAAAGGCACATCAAAGCTGAACTGAAAAAGTTCAGGAGGCTGGGTGTGGGAGCTTAGAGGTAGAAAGGAGCCAGACCGTGGAGATTTCTGTAGAAGAAGAAAAAAACTAATCTTTCCGCTACCCATCTTAGGTTCTCTGGGGCCCTATAAATTCAACTAGCAAAAGACAGATTATCAAGAGGAAAATAAACAGAAGTTCATTAAAATGTGCATCGCAGTACACTTGGGAGCACCCAGTGATGAGTAACTCAAAGCGGGTGGTTAGAACTTGGGCTTATTATAGCATCTTAACAAAATAACAACACATTTTTAGAGAAGTGACCAGACAAAGGAAAAGGACGTGAGTATCTAAGGTGGCCAATTATGGAAAGGTAAATATATGAGGAACTAATGGTAGGTGAGGGCTAGTTTTAGCAAGGTTTCTTATGTAGGTTCCTCTGGTGCAATCTCCAGGCTGATTAAGGGTTTAGAATTGTCTCCAGTGATTAACTTCTGGGGGGACACCTCTGCAAATTTCTGCCCTGCCTTTGGCAAATAGGAGGAGGGCAGAGAGCTTTGCTTGTATCTGCTTCTCAGTTGCTTTCAGCCCCAAATCATCCTTATGCCAAAGTTGCATATTTGGGGGTGGTGTATTCTGCTACCCTTCACTAGGGCTTTGGTTGACTAAAATGAAATATTATTCTCATTAGACCAGATTATTGAGAACCCTAAAAAGACTTTTTTTTTTTTTAAGATTTTTTTGGTGGGGGTTGGGGGTGGGGAATACTGTTGGGGAATTGGGGAAGGGGACCAGCCAAGTTGTTCTTCAGTCTTCGTTGTGGAGGGCGCGCCAGTCGCCATCTGGCTTCCCGTTGGCAGCTCGTGGCCTCTAAGCTCAAGGTGCTGAGTTCAATCTTAGTTGCAGGTGGGCATAGCCACCATCCCATGTGGGAGTTGAACCGGCAGCCTTGTTAAGAGCGCATGCTCTATCCACTGTGCCATCCAGGTGGCAGCTCCGCTCAAGGTGCTGTGTTCAGTCTTAGTTGCAGGTGGGCATAGCCCACCATCGAACAGGCAATCTTGTTGTTATACCAGGTGAGCCATCTGGCCACCTGTTGACAGCTCAGCTCAGGGTGCAGCATCACTGATCCATGTGGGAATCGAACCGGTGACCCTGTTGCTCAGAGCTTGTGCTCTTAAGATAACTCTTAACCCACTGAGCCACTCGGCCGGCCCAAAAGACTTTTTTTTTTTGAGATGTAATCCACATGCCATAAAATTTACTCTTTTAAAAGCGTATAGCTCAGTAGTAGTTAATATAGTCACAAAGTTGAGCAACCATCACCACAAATTCCAGATCATTTTATCATCCCAGGTTCATTAGCAGTCACGCCTCATCTGCCCCTCTCCCCAGCCCCACCGCTAACCTGCTTTCTGTATCTGGATTTGCCTATTTTGGACAGCTCATATAAATGGAATCCACAATAGGTGCTCATTGGGCCTGCCTTCTTTCACTTAGCCTATGTCTTTAAGTTCATCAAGGTGGGAGCATGCAAGGTGGTACTCCATTGCATTTTATGGCTGAGTAATACTCCATTGAATGGATGTGCCTCAGAAGACTCTTGAGAAGGAGTCTCCTATCTGCGATGGGACTGTGCCTTGGGGCTTGGCCAGTATGAAAAGCACTGTGCCCCCAAGAACAGTGGACTGCTGGGCTCTCCCCTCACTGGCTGTGTGATGAGGGCAAATCACTTTCTTTGTAATTCATTTTCCGCTCACAAATGGGGACAGTAGTGGGACTGTTCTAAAGTTGAATTAAATGAGGTAACACATTTAAAGGGCTTGGGAAAGTGCCAGGTCAAAGGTCCAGTTGTTCCTCTAGAGAAGAAAAGGCAGGCAGATGCACAACTCTCTGCTGTCTTTAGTGAGCACACTGACCTTCATTCCAGAACCTTCCAAATGGCGACATGGCTACTTGTAAAAACAGGATTATAATCAGGTCTGACTATAAGAGGGAATGAATTGAAGGTAGGGGTTTCTACCCCACTTAGGATTTTGTAGTTCTGCAGACTTTCAAATTTGTTGTGAGCGATGATGAATCAAGAGACTTTTTTGATATATGAACTTTTAAGCTCATCTATCTTGAGAACAAACTGCTTTAAATTTTTTAAAATGTATGTAAATTTTCAATATACAAAAAGGGAGAATTTGATTCCCCTTGTACCTTCAACAACATTTATTCTTATGTTTGACAAATGGCTTTTGTTCCACAATTGGATGGGGGAGGCACACCCAATAGATAGGTTCCTGAAAGGGAGTAGAATTTACCACCCCAAAAGATGTCACTTTGGCATGAGAATTATTTGAGCTAAAGGCAATCAAAACCCAACAGATTCAGGCAAAGCTCTTTTCCTCCCCCTCAACTGTCTAAATTTGCATCGGAAAGGGAGGTTGTACCAGGGAAAAGAGCTATTACCTTTTTTACCTAAGAAACTTGTCTGCATAGCAGGACAACTTTTGTTTTCCAAACATTTCTTCTGCTTTCCTGTGAAAGGCCTCTCTCCCCTTTGTATCCGGACACTCAGCCCTTTCCTTAGCTTAGGATGTTACATAAGCTTCAATTACCTGGCTGGCTGTTGGATCTCATTTTTGATGGAGCTCCCATATATACAAAATTAGATTTTTTTTTCTCCTGTTCGTCTTTCTTATATTAATTTATTAAAGCAGCCAAAGAACCTAGAAGGTTAGAAGGAAAATTTTTTCTTTCCTATAGAAGAAGCATCTTGCAAGGACCTGGGGAAACTGGTTTTATGGGCAGGTTGAGAAATGTCTGCTTGTTTAGGCAGCAGATGCACTTCATGGACGGTAGGGGTGGAGAGGAAGGGCTGTGCTCGCCTTCCCTCCCCAGATCACTGTGTGTGTGGGGCCAGGCGTGGGATGAGAAGGTTCACTCTGGGGAGCTGACACTAGTAGCATGATGAAGTTATGTCCAAACACTGCCTGTCTTGGTAGTAGTGACACCAGTGACCGTCAGGAGTAAGGGATGGGGCCACCCAGCTCATACTACGGCACGTGGAACTATCCGGCAGCCACATTTTAGTGGACTTTGAAAAGCTGTGGAAATCCAAAGGAGCAAGATCAGGAGAGAAGGGGCCCCTAGGTCAAGTACTCCACACCCTCCCTTCTCATGTGAGGCAGTGGTAGGGATCCTGGACTTTTTAGGGGAGGAAGGCACTTCACAGGGAGATGGGAAGAGCAGATGTTTGTGTTGACAAAAAACATCCAGCCTAAGAGGAAACTTATTATAAGAGTTTATTTGAGCCAAACTGTCGACAAACGCCGGGAAGCAAAAAATCTCAACGGGTTGAGAAAATGCTCCGCAAAATGGCAGTTTGCAGCTTATTTTATACATAAAAATCAAAGAAGGAAGGTTACATGAAATCCATTGGTGACAGGTTAAGGGGGTGGGAGAAAGGAAAGCAGGGAAAGCTCTGGGATTGGATAAAAGTAAATTGGAGAGACAGGTACTTCTTTTACACAGGTGGGTGCAGGATAGCTAACAGTTAGCTCTTTTCCAGCACAAAGAGATGGTAATCAGGAGATAAGCATAATAAAGAGGAATTTTGCAGTTTCCAGCTCTGGTCCAGAAAAAGGATTACTGACATTCCTAAGATGTTATCTTAGGTGCAGAAAAACACAGGCCCACTGGAAAGGCACAGACCAAATTTATGAAGGAAGCTCAAGATGTGACTTCCCACCATGGCCCACTTGGTTATGAAAGTTTTTTATGCTCACGCCATCTTATGTGGTTATTTTCAATCTGAGCTTGTCAGGTTTAACCTGGGGCCCCTTTTCCGTCCACATTTGGTAATATGTGCCAGGTCTGCAGAGACAAGGGGACACAAAGAAATTTGATTTATAGGCAGTTCGTAGCTCCCCCTCCAGCCCACCACTCCTGGCTCACACTCTGTAGTTATCTGTGGTGCTAGTTCTCTTCCTGGACTAGGCCCTCTATCGAAATTCTTCTAGGTAAGGTGGAAGCAAAAGTTTTTCTTGAATCTGCTGAGCCTTGATTGCCTTCAGCTCAAAACAGTCCACATGCCGAAGTGCACATTTTGGGAAGGCTCATTCTGAACCTCTCAAAATGAACGGGGATGGCCTGGGAGGGGAGCCCTGACTGGTTCTCCCAGCTGTGCCTTGGTTTTCTTTTGTCACTGGACCGTCTGGAAGTGTCAGGTGGAGCACCCATCCATGCTAACCATGCTGGCTTCCAGCCAAGGCCAAGTGCCCCAGACAGTCCCCAGGCCTCTCTCTCTGTCTCCTGCCATGCCTTCCAGGTCGCTGAACCCACTTTGAATGGAAAAAGTAAACACTGGTTTGGAGTGATGGTCTAGAAACCCATTTCTTCCCGACTTGGTGCCCCTTCAAACTCCCACTCCTCGGATTCTTAGCCTGCAGTTAAGGTTCTGGGAATTGGGGAACTTGGATGGGAAGAATTTACACATCTGCTTTCCCTAATCTTTCATTGAAATCTAGCATTTCCTTCCATTGTGTGTGTAGGCATCACACCACAATATTATAAGCGGGACCTGGAACTTTGTCAACAACAGAAGTCACAGCTATTTTCGGATCACACCACAGTTGTTGCAGATATTTTGAATATTATCTACGCTCATGTGGGGGAGGAGAAATAATTCTCTTTCTACCCTTCTAAATTCTTCTGGCTGGTTTAATAATCAAATTGACATGAGACTGTTTAACAGGAGAAAATGACCAAAATTATTATATTGTCTGTACTGGAGTTCCATGGGAATATGAGACCCTGGGACAAATCAAGCAGTTGAGGCTTATATGTCACCTTGAGCCAAAGAGAAGTGGGGAAAGGGGGCTGGTTTGGGACTTCAAAGGACAGGAAGCACTTCACATGGAGATGGAAAAGCAAAAGTTTGGTAAGCCAATATTTGCTGGGCTACCTTTAACACTGGGACGCAGAGGAGACTGATCAAATGGCTCTTGCTTGGTTCCTCCCTGTCCATCTCACACTAGTTCATATTAAACTACAGTAGCCTATGATGACAGCTCCCTTCCTGGACAGACCCTCTCTCTAAATTCTTTTGGGCAGGTAGAGGGGAGGTAAAAGGTTCTCCCTGAGTCTTTTGTTTTTGAAAAATAACTAATTTAAAATCATCAGTATCCCAAAGGCATATTTTGGGGTGGCAAAACTCTGTTCCCCCTCATTCATCATGACTTCAAAATCATAGTATTTATCAGGCCTACCATTATTAATGTATTAAATCAGGACCTGATTTATACATTAACAAAGAATTGCTAGCACACATGGCAATTGTATTTCAAAATAATTTGCTTCCTTTGTAATCCTGGGTATTTTAGTTTATGCATTTAAACACCTCACTCTGAGAAAGTTCCAGAGGCCTCACCAGACTCCAGAGGGGCCTGTGGCACAGAAAAGACGAAGAACCCTGCCCAGCCCCACCCAGGGTGCCTCCTGTTCTCACAGTCGCCCTGCTAGCCCTCTCTTGGTGTGCTGTGTGTGGCTGGCGCCCTTCCTAGGCAGGCTGGCCGCAGTCTGCCACCTGCCTGGGTCAATGCTTGGTGTCCTATTCCTTCTGGGCATTATGAGGTGTAAGTAAAGATACGGACCATGCCTCGAAGTCTTGCCAGGGGACCCTGTGTGCCACTCCCCCTCGCACCTGCTCCCTTGCCAGTGACCCTCTGTCCCTGGACGTGTGGTTCTGCCTGGTCTGTGTTGAGGACCTGGGAACAGGCTGGTGGCAGAGCGCAGAACTGAGCCTTAGAGCTAGAGGCCGAAGCGTCTGCCGTTTAACATCAGGCCAAATGCATTTTTAAAAACAAATTGTCCTGAATTGATACACAAGCACATGGGACGATACTCAGAAGTTGAAATGAGAATGTGGTAAGACGTTTCCCTTCCTGCCCCTTGGCCTCAAACTTGACCAGTGTCTCTTTCCTTCCAGAGCTGTTCAGCACATTTACAGCCAAAAAGAATGTGCTGGAATCCTGCCGGTTATTACTTAAATACTAAGATGTTAGGCACCTGGTCTGCACTTGGCTTCTTTACTTAACAATATTTTCTTGGAAATCGCTCCTTATCTGCATATAAATAGCTCCCTCCTCATTCTTTCCCTTGTATTTGTCTGGTCATTTCCCCAGCAGCCTGTTGAAAAGGAAAGCCTATAGCCAGAAACTTCATGATAACTTTTGGATTCCTTTGCTCACATCCCGAATTCCAAAGGGGACTCATAGGATTATCCAAAAAGTGACTTAATCCAAAAAATGACTACATAGTAGAATTTGGGGCAGGGGAGTCAGCGAGGGGCTGGTCTTTGGGTAGAAGACTTTATCTGTGGTATCCCCAAATCCAAGTGTTGGGGTACCAAGACCTCTGTCTATCCAGAGATATTTCCCTTGCCCTCCCAAGCTGACCTTGGGACTCTTTATAATAAATGCCACCCTCTTAATATTTGAACACTCCTGCAACCAACAAGCTCTCCTGCCCAGCTTCTCACCAGGCACGTCAGGCAGGCCAGCGTCCACTGGGCAGGGACACCGCAGAAAGATGCTAAGAGATCAGAAGAGTTCCACCTGCTCCCTAGAGCTCCTGAGGGATGGGCTGGGTAGGCAGGCTCCCCTACACACACGCATGCACGCACGCACGCACGCACGCACACTCAGAGCAGTTCCAAGTTTATCAGTGTTTACATGTCATGCCCTGAATAACTCTGAGCTGAAGAAAATGTGCTTTGTCCTACGATCTACATGGCCGTCAGGGGCCTTCTTCTCGTGGACATCTGGCCCTTTCATCACTTTGGGCCACTGACATTCATCAACAGATGCCAGGCCCACCCAGCAACCTTCTCACTTTAGTATTTTCCTGCCAGACACACATACCAGGGGATAGACAGAGACTGTCGAGACCTGCCCAATCAGAGTATCTTGTCGGTCAGGCAGGCTTCTCTGTGAAACAAAAAGATAGCATTCAAGTTTTTACATCTGTGCTTGATGGGTTTGTTTAGTGTGTGTCCTGCCAAAAGGGATCCCCTCAGGCCCACAGAGCTCAGGGCTGCGCTGCGGACCATGTTGAAGTCCCCAAAGTAAGTCCCCAAGCCCACTTGCTCTCTATGGCCAGCCGACCTGCTGCTTGGGGCAGTGACCCTTCCTGGTGGGGCCCTTCTTTCAGCTGGAAGCACGTTGAGGAGGCTGACGAAGGAAGAGGTTCTAGTATAAGTTAGCTTTGTGCGATAGAAACTCAGTTGCAGAATTATAGTGTCCTCGGATGCAGTGACCAGGTGGAAGCAAACAGCACAGATCCATCCTGACCACCACCAACTGGTCCGGGGTCAGCTGGTCCCCTCCCACCTGAAGGATGCACCGCCAGCGTTGCTCCCCTCCAGATCAAACTTGACAGTGACTGGGGAAAACCTTTTTCTCCATCCTCTTATGTTAGTATTTAGGAGCCTGCAAAATTAACTGGCAAAATACAGATTACAAACGTTTGTTGTTTTTTTATTCACATATATGCAAAGGAGTTCAAGTTGGTGAGGATAAGATTAGATAATGCATTTAAAGCACTTAATACAGTGCCTGGCATATAGCAAGTGTTCAGTTAATAAAGCCAACCTCTCTGGGCGCTGGCGATACAGCAGTGAGCAAAACCACGTCCCTGCTCTCCTGGGTCTTCCATTCTGGAGGACTGGGGTTACGTGATGTGGGTGTCCCCTGCATGTCCCTACAGCACTTTACCCAGTGCACTTAACCAGTCCTTTTCTTGTCTGAATTTCCACTAGGCAGTGATCAGGACTTACTTGGTTTCCATCACAGTTGCTCACGTGGCCAACTCTCCCATGAACGCCTGTGGGACAAATACATTTCAGGGCGTGTGGATATGGGGGTCCCAGGTTTGGAAATAGGAGTTAGGGTGGTGGATTTTTTTCTGGTTTTGATCTTTCTTCCATTCTTCTGGACATCACAATTCCAGACACAGCTCCACAAAACAATGATTAGGACATTGTTTGCCTCTGAGAGAAAAGCTTACTACACAATCCACCCCTGGGTCCAGGAGTTGTGCTTAGGGAAACTGGCCAGCTGTAAGGCTACAGGGTGAGGCGGAGCTGCAAGGACCAGAATAGAAGGTCTAAATTTAAACTGTGTCTGGAGGCTTCAGGGAATTGGGGGCCTGTAGGCTCTGGGCGGCTTTCTTCCAGGGGGGCCTCCATGAGGACAGCTCCGCCCTCCTATGGCAATGCCCACCTCCCCTGTGCCTCCTCCCTCCTCTCTCCCTGGTCCTCTCTCCTCCCATCTCCCTCCTCTCTTCTCCCTCCTCCCTCCTCCCTCCTCCCTCTCCCTCCAGGAGTGGAAACTGTTTCATTCTTGGCTCTGAGAGCTGGTTTCCTCCCAAGGAAATATTGTCTCACCGCAGCTGAGGCAGGATCTGCCCCTGGAATTTCCCTACAGTGGAGAAACACCCTGCTGCCCCATCTGCTGGAGACAAGGGACACACCTAGAGGAGCCTGCATGTGCACAGCCCAGAGGGGACACGCCCAGAGATACACAGATGTAAAGAGAAACAAACAGAAAGGGGGGGGGGAACCCCAGGGACCCCAGGGGCCTGTTCTCTGTCTCCACCTCTCTGTGCAGAGTTGTGAGCAAATAATGAACCCATTTTTTCACCTCTACAATACTAAAATAGATTTCTTCAAAGTCCAAATGGAATAGAACTCTAAAGGAACCACCCTAGAAAGTTCTGTTTCAAAGATTTTGCTTTCATTGTTCAAAACATTTTTAGTCTTTTTTTTTTTTTTTCTGAAAAACTCCTTTCAGAACCAGTTTTAGGCACTCACAAGTCTGCCTTGTTACAGTCCCAGACATTTCCTTTTTGCCTAGAGGGATCACTGTCCGTGGTACCAAGAGACTTTGGGCTGGTTTCAAATACTGAATTCAAAAGATTCCTGTGAAGTTGGTGACAAGTGTCTGGCAGGCGCCATCGCTACTGAAAATCCACTTGATGCCCAAGGCCAGCCCCCAGATAGGGACAGCCGCTCCTGCAGGGGCCAGTTCCACCCTCAGTCACAAGCCAGGTCCTGCTAGAGCCTTAAATAGTCCAACACTCAGACACAGATGGGTGAGCACACCATCAGCCAAATGGAAACTTCCAGTTTCAGTCACAACCTCCTGAGGCAGCAATTTGGGAGAGGAACCCCAGCAATGCAGTGCTAGTGCTTTTGTGAGTGTATTCACCGAGACTAGAGGACAGGGGTTGTCACAGACCTGGTCACGAGGGGACAGTCACAGCCCAGAAGCCAGCATGCAGACCGCACCCACAGGTCAGCAGGAGAGCCAGTGCTGAAGGGACACACCCAGACACACTGGGTTGCCTAGCAACCCAGGATGCCAGGCCCAGAGACGCACTCAGGCTGTTTCCACATGGGCAGGACGGCAGGCAGCATGCTGCCCAGTGCAGACCGTCTCGCCATGGGAATATGCCCACCAGGAAAAGCCTTCAAGTCAGAAACAGCCGTGTAACTTTAGAGCCTGCTCGTTCACACCCCAAAACGCTCACCCAGATTTAGACAGCAAGGCACGCTTCCTTAAACTTCCAGTCGCATCTCAGTGACACATACCAAATGGTCAGTCTAGAGTCCTCGCCTCCTTTTGTTTTCTCTCCGAAAACTTCTGGCTTTTCCATTGTAATCAGCCAGTGACCAAACAGTCTGTTTCTGTAACTTCTTAGTATTAACCAAAGATTGTTCTTTTGAAATGTCTGCAGTAAGTTACAAAGAATGCCTCTGGCCTTTGTTTTCAAATTCAGCCTTGAAAACACTAAACACACAATGTGAAAATTTAGAGGATGATTTTTCAATTTCACAGACAGGTGATGGTGGAGGTGTTTTCAACTTTTGGAGGTAGAAGAAAGGCAAGTGTACCAACTTTTCAGTGATTCTTACAATTCCTGCTTGGTAAACAGGAGCACAGCAGCAGCTTCGGAGTCAGTGTAGCAGGAACAACAGGAAAAGACTCCTTCTGGGCAGAGCCCCTCACGTCTTAGGAATGGGTGTAAACTGAGGACTGGACCCTGGTCTGGTGTCACTGTGACTTTATTTGTGATTAGGCAGCACTTACGGGCATGTAGTGGACAGCTGTGACCTCAGCTGGGTCCAAGGACAGCCCCCTTGTGTAGATTCTGGCCCCTTCTCTGTGTTTCAGACACTGTGTTGGTGTTTGGATGAGATAATCTGGTCTTGCTGGCCATGGCAGGGTTCTTTCCAGAACCATCACCAGACAGGACCGACCTAGAGACGTCTTCTAGCTATACCCTGGGTGTGGCCGGGCCTCCCCTGCCATGCTTAGCCTGCTGCCCTCTGTCCCTTTCCCCCTTTTTGCATCCCTCCTTCCTCTCTCCCTTCCTTCCCCAACAGGGAGCTACCTTCAGTGAACGGGGGGCCTTAACATACTCAACCTGTCCTCCCAGAGACGAAATCCACCTCCTCCCCACCAAAATTCCTTTCTATTCTTACTGTTTATACCTGAAAAGATTAATTGGTGCCTCACTCAAGACAGGAATAAACAAACAAACAAACAAACAAAAAAGCCTGCTAGGTGGCATCAGGGGCAGATATCCTTAACCTCGAAGGGCTTTTATAAAGTATGGGGCATGAAAGAGAGATGTAGGATGTGAGCAGGCAGAGTCATCAAAACAAATGACTAATCATGAAACACATGATTAATAAAGAAAACCTTCCACCTCAATACTCAAAGCAAGGCAAAAGAAAACCATTTGAGATAATATTTCCCTTTATTGCCTATTGGACCAGCAACTGAATACCTATTGTTGGGCAGGGACCTTCTCATCAATTACTTGCACAGTAATTGGAAGAGCCTCTTGGAAGAAAATTAAGCCTTAAAATGACCAGTACCATTTGACTCGTCAATTTCACCTCTAGAAGTTCCTGGAAGGAATCTTTCAGGTATCATCCAAAATGTATAGCTATAAAAATACTCATTGCAGTACTGTTGCTAAACAAAAAGAAAAACATGCATTTATAATTTTT